TGTCTTTATCTTGTGATTTTTTTTTAAATTTGTCTATGTTTTTGATGCTATAACTTTGTAATTTTTTGCACTACCTGCTTCACTGCAGGAACTAGTCTGATTAAGAGAGAGATTACTTTAATTATTTTAAGATTATTTTTACATTTTAAACTTACATTTGTGTCTTTGTCTTTTAAGACATAGGCTGTTTTATTTATTTATTTATTTATTTGCACCAACCCCCTGATGACGATGTAGTAAAAAATGTAAATTTCATCTTTTATTTTTGATTTTGGCATGTTTTCCTTCCTTATTTCTTGCAGTTTGTCACTGTGCTTCGGGTTCTTTTTAGTTTTTGCATGCAATTTATCTTTAACGAATGAATTTATCCGAACGGATGAATTTTAAACGTATTTTTATTTTATTTTGCATATATATATGTGTGTGTGTATATACAGAGGGAGAGAATACTTCCAAATTTTTCCTATCATCCACAGTTTTTCATTAACATCAGTTTTAATTTCACTTGTCATTACGTAAACGCTTCCTTTAAAGAAATGGCTAAAATGAGCTTTAATATTACAAAATAAGTGCATGGAAATATATGAGAAATGGTTTTATTTTTTCTTGTGAACTGTTTCCAGGTGTCAGTTTTCACAACTTTAATCACAAACCAAACTTTCCTTCCAAAATTATGAGCTCCCTCCGTCAGTATAAAAGAATGCTATGAAATTGTTCTTGGAAAATATTCAGGAGGAAAACTGGAAGTGGAATACTTGTTCCAAGTTAAAAGTAGCAGCTGTTGTTCACTGATTTAAGTTAAAATTTAACGAAACGCTACTTTTTGCTTGAGGATGGGGCAGAAAGCGCAGAAAAAATTATTGCACTTCGAAATATTTGCTAGAATAAGCATCATTAACCCTAGGAAAGTTTAATAGTACAGAATAATACAGAATACAGAATAATAATACAGAATTTTTGTTACAGCAATGGATACAAATATACTATGATTCATATGCTTGAGAAACAAATATTCTAACCTTTTTGAATTCAGCAACAGAATTCGTCAAATTCATATATTTGAATTCGTACGGCAAAGCAAAACTAAAGACTTATCAGCTAGCGTTGCCACAAATATTTAGTACATGAAGTAACTTAATTGTAGTTAATAACCATTCAATAAATTATATAAAATAGTTTTTAATACCGTATATATTACATATGTAATAAAGCTTAAAATACTTTCAATGAAGAGAAACGTACGATTAAGAAGTATTTCCTCATACCTGCCAAAAAGAATAATACCAAACTAAAGCTCGGCGTCAGTGTTTAATATTAGTCAAGGAATTTACCTAGACTTAGTTAAAAAGAGTAATTTCTCTCATATAAATTGCGTAGTTTCATTCTTTCAGGTTGAAATACGTATGGCGAATAAAATGATTGGAAGCAATTCCCCCCCCCCGTGTAAGGAGAAATGTGTATTTATGCTTATTTATGAGTGTTTATCGATTGTAACAGTATATTTTGCCCATTTCAGTTCAGACTGTGTATTTAATAACTAAAATGATAATTACATCATTTGGATGACAGTGCAGTTGTTGGAAAATAAATGAATAATCTTACATCAAACTGAATGACAACAGCTTGCAGTTTTAACAAGGGACAACCACGAATTCCTAACTTAACTATTAATATCTGCTTTTAGGTGTTAGAATGAAAATACACAAAAATTTTCATGTGATTTTTAAGACTTCATTGCGACACTCTTAAACATAAAATAATACTGTTTAGCATTACATACAGGCTGGGATAAAATTTGGAGTAAAATTTGACCGAGAAATCATTTTTTTAAATAATTTAGTTCTTTCCTTTATACGTTCTGTCTTGGGAAATTCATATTGGAAAATTTAAAGAAAATGTATAGAATCCTGTAGAGAAAATAATATTGGAATTACATTACAAAGTGCTGGACTTTTACCCATACAGATGGATGACTTTATAATTTCTGCCCAGCAGAAAATTTGCAGAAGTATAAAGACATGTATAAAGACATCAGAAAGAACGAAAAAATTTAAAGAATTGCCATCATCAAGCAAATCTAGGACAATATATTCATTGAAATTCCAGCTTCAAAACTTCAGACATTTAACTAATACTGTAAGGATCCTAAGTTTTACTAACGTTTATTTTATTTTAAAACTGTACTATCACTTCTTATTTTCTACTTCCGGCCATGCTTTAACTTGCTTATGCAAATTGTCTTGCTAACGCCAAGTACTTAAGTTGTGGCTTTTTGCCAAGAGAGAGAGAGAGAAGGAGTTTTAGGAAGCAAGCCGCTTGCCACTGCAGTTTTACGAGTTTTCACTCGGTTGCTGGTTGCCTTTAAGGCCAGAGGTTTAGTCCTCTTGATATTTGCAAGCGTATTGTAGTTTCAGCAGCTCGGTGTACTACATACGTACCCTTTTAAAATAGAGGCCAGTCTTAGTGCTAGGCATTTGTATACTAATTCAAAGTCAGCTTTTAGTTAGATTTTTAGTTAATACTAATTTTATATTCTTACGTTCAGGCCACAAGTGGTTGGTCTCTGTATTCCGAAGTTCGGAAGTGCCTATAAAGTATTGAAAATAAAGGGTTTCGTATACCCTTCCTGCTTGTGTCGTCTGTTATACACAAATCAGCTTGAGTAAGCTTCCTGTTCTTATTCAGGGCATACCATATTTCCAAATCAAATCAAGAGAAACACAAATCCTGACAATACTAGGAAAAACGCAGTGGAGAAAATGCTGATTCTGTGCAGAGATAAGTTGAACTCTTTCCAAATGACACATATCGTCTTCTACACCCAAACAGAAGTGTTTAGCACTAAAATTAAATCATTCCAATAAAAACCGATTAAAATATTCTTCAAATCTTATTTTCAGTTATGAGTATTTTACGTATGTCTATTATTGTTTAGTTTACTTAAGTACAAAGTGTTAGCAGAAAAATATCTTAGATGATTTACTCAAAAAAAAAAAAAATCGTAACATGCATTGTTACTTCTCGCATCGTGATATTTGCTGGATAAGTTGAAGGTTTTTTTTTTTTTTTTTTTTTTTTTTTTTTTTCAAGTGCTAGGCAATCAAACTGTAAAAGGATTTAAATTAAATTGCTGAAACAGCTATGCATATTTTATCTAGGAAGTTAATTATAAAATTTTTCAAAAATATTTAATAATTTGACGCAGACCGAAAATGCAATTTCTTATCAGAAAACCTTCTCAGTACCGAAGAGGCGTATATAGATTTGAGGTGGGCAAAAACGCTGGTTTATGAGGTTAAATCGGAAACGTTCGCTTGCTGGGTTAAATCGATTTCTTCTAGCGATTCATTGCTCATTAACAATCTTGGTTAATGAGATCGAAAGCGGAGAGTGAGTCAAGAGCAGCGTGCGATGATGAAGTAAAGAGAGGAACGAATCAAACGAGAAGTAGGAACACTAATTTCGAGATTCCCTAAGATGTTTTTTTTACATAAAACTAGCAATAAAATTTAGGAATACAAATTTTCAAGAAGTTGCAAGATGATAAAAATTCAGTTTTAATTGCAACATGGAACAAAAACGTTCCTTCCTCCCCTAAAGTGGGGACAGAACACCAGAGGCGGACCCCGCCATGGTACTATGCCTTCCGGGAGTTGTGTCCATACTCCGGAGACCATCCAGAGGGGCGCAGTCCCCGCGGTCCCCCATGGCCTTCCACGAAGCATGGAACCGAAAAAAGTATGGAGGTAAGAAAGGACTTCCTGCCTCCATGGAAGAAAGCTATGAAGAGTTTAAGAACGAAGACCCTTTGCCCCGGACAACACTCCGGGAGCATCGAATATTCAAAAGGGTGGTCCATACTAGTACAAGTCCCCCACGAGGGACCGAATTAGACCAAACCCCCCAAAGACAGCCATATACCGTACGATGTAACAACTTCACAGCCAAGGGGTAGGCAAGACAGTACCAGTACAGTGTAAACCATCCCCCGAATAAACGGAGGTTCTAGTTCTGTGAAGAGTGATTATGCATCCCCGTGGATGAGACTACCTAAGTACTTCCCAGGAATTCTTCTGAGTCAACCCCCTGGCGGGACCTAAAATTGGAACGGAACTTTCCTAGCATTTTTTTAAACAAAAGCTCTCGGTGAGTAAAATCTAAAAGAACTACCACTCCATTTGTCGGAATGACCCTTCGCTCAACCAGTAAATCAGTCTACGAGCGAAAAGCCTATCTCTAATAAAAAGTCACAAGATTTCTTTTTTTTTTTTTTTTTTTTTTTTTTTTTTTTTTTTTTTCAGAAAATGTAATGAAAGCTACTGAAAAAATAAGCCAAATTATCTTTACTCTAATAAATAATACCCAAACCTGCAACTAGTCTATAAATTAGAATTATATCTAAAAACCTGCCTTGAGTGAATTTATAGAATGTAAAACTAAAGCGTATGCATACCGCTCAATCTTTCCTCAGACCTAGACAAATAATAATCATCTCTCTTTAGGTCACCGCGAATATTAAAAAAAGAAACCGCATAAAAATGTTAAATCAATTCATTGGAATTTTTCAACAATTCATAGGGAAGGGTATTGAAGACTCTTAAATTCTAGTATAGATAATATTTTGCATCCTAAAACTAGAAGATGGGCGTAGTTCATATACATTTCCAATAAGTATTCCATATTCTTCAATAAGCCCGTTTCTTTAATCTGAAATTTGCATTCTTCACTAGGAGGAGAAAAAGTTTGAAATAAAAAGGAGACGAATCAACGATAGAATATTCTAAAACTATTTTTCTTTGCGCTCTAAAATTTCAAGTCTGATCAATATTTCATGAACGAAATATCGACGCCATTCCAAAAGCTCCGATATGCGGCTAGCGTTCGATGACTTCATACAAGAGCTTTTTAAAGTTCAAGAAAAAAAAGGTAATCTCTTCAAAGTGAGATAAAAATAAAAAAATAAAATTACTTAGTCTCATCTTACTTTTATTTTCTTGCAGCTGCTGTGCATATACAACATTCTACTATGTTTATGAAAGCCTTAACAGAAGAAGGTGTACTATTTCAAACGCAGGTAAGATATGTTTATAAACAAAGTATTGAAAGACGTTATCATATGTTTCCTTACTTTTCCTAACAGCAAAGCTTTAATATTTCATTTACAATGGTGGTCTTCAAACTTTGTCGTCTCACAAAACTCTTAAAACTATAAGGTCTTTTCGGAAAAACCCATCCTACCATTAGAAAAATAAATCATAAAGTAATATATATGTATTTTTTTTCCAATGGAAGGCACAAGTCATCATATAGATGTTGGCCACTACTGAGGCTATAAGAGGTGGCTACTTTATTATGGAGGCACTTAATAGGTGGACCACCTTTGTCTCCTATGAACAGGCGGACAGTTACAACCATGCCTTCTCCGGGATTCGAGCCCGGGGCTTTTGGTACCGCGGTCGGCTCCTCTAACCACTAAACTGTATTGTTGGTTCACAAATAATAGTTAAAGGAAATTAACATGTTATACGTTGTAGAGACGTTAGATTATTTCGAAGCAGGAGATATGAAAAGTGTGCAATGCCTTTGTTGGGACTCGAACCTCGGACCTCTCGAATAAGCGCCGAGTCTGCTGACCACTACACCACGGAAGCATGCCAAGAAGGCCGAAGAAATACCTTATATACTCCCCCTTTTAGAGGGAGACTGGAGATTAAGGGAAATAATCGTCAAATTCTGGTGGTGAAGAATCAACATCCACCACCTTTTTTAGTTCGGGTGCCACTGTAGAAACATTAGGTATTTTTTGAAAGCAGGAGACATGAAAAATGTGCAATGCCCTCGCCGGAACTGCTGATGCGCCGAGTGTGCTGACCACTACACCACGAAGGCATACTAAGAAAAAGGGAGAAATACCTTATAACGTATTTTATGTAAAGATAAAGAAAAGCATTGTATTTTTATTAAATTATTTTACTATAAAATTAGTGTAATTTACTCATTAATAACATTAACACATGCTCCAGGTGCACTTAATCATGCATTATATTTAATGTATTATATTTAATGTAATATTTGCTTGCATATTTTTACACAAAATTTCGAAGTCTAGTTGTATTGACATTATCTGCAGCCGCATTTCATACTCTGATTTTTTTTTTTTTCCATATACGTTGAGAAAGATTTTTCTCTTAAATATGTTGTTCGAAATGGTATTAAAATGTTTATAACTGTGTGAGAAACTTCTATGGATTCTTCAGGAATCTACAACCAAAATTTTAGGAGCTACTCTTACTTAAACTTATGCCATATCTGTTGACGTTCCAATAAGTTGTTGCCTTATTACATTACTCGAGCCGACGTCTTATCCAGTTACAGTTTTTCTTCTGAAAATATTCTTGTATAGTTTTCTTCAACTGTAAAAGGTGCTCGATTGTACATTGTTTAATACTGTCTTCCAAATTCAATTAATTTTCCAATAGCAAATTGTTTAGTTTTGCGGAACATTGCACGTCATTCTCTTTGACATATGATGCCCACATGTTAAGTTTTAAAACTAATTTATAACTAAACATATTTTTATATTTTTAAGTTAATAAACACAAGCCAACTAAAGTTCTTTATATATATATATATATATACATTCGAATTTTTATTTTGACTCATGGAGCTCTGGGAATTGACTCGCGGAATCTCGGGCTTCCGCGGAACACAGTTTGAAGACCACTGCTTACAGGAGTAAATTTTCGCAATACTTCTTAATATATATAATATAAGCCGATATAGATTCGTTCAATTTAATAGTTCACTTGCTAATATAAGCTAGTTAATATAATAAAAACTAATTAATATAAAGTCATAGTTCTAATCTCCTAATTTTTTAGATCTAAAGAGAACTTTTAAGTTAGTTTTTAATACAAGTTATTTAAAGGAAAAACCTTAAATCTTCAGTAGTCTAGCCTATTGTAACTATTAATCCCTGATAAAAAAATGGTTATGTAAGATGCGGAAAATGCTCAAATTAATTTTGCTTCTATAGTAAGCCAGGAAATACTTATTAAATCTTGCTAATTTCTCAATAAACTGAGCATTTCTAATTTATTACTTTGCATTCTGAGCTGTGACCATGTTCCAACTGAAATTTCGAGGATAAGCATGCAACTCTAAAAAAACAGGGGGGGTTGTAAATAGGCTCTGGCAATCTTGTTAGCTTAAAATTAGACAAAAATGGACACATTAGGTTTCTGAAAATTTTAATGTCAGTTTGGGGACGATCAAACATAAGTTTCTCTTTTTTCAAGGCTGAAAAAAATTCCATTTTGATTAAAAGTTATGGTGTAAAATTTCAGTATTAATTTTAAATCTTCATTCAGAATAAATTTCTCTTTATTTGTGTATATCCTCGGATAACTATTATGGTTGGTTTAACAATACAAAAAAAAAAAAAAAAAAAAAAAAAAATCTGAAATGTTTCAGATTTTAAATTACGTCCAAAGGGGCGTTTTTTAACATTTTGTGTGTTACCTTTCTTTATTAAATATCATGTTCCTCGCACTTAAACCATAAGATCCAGTGCAACAGCAATATCACAAAATAGTTTTAAAACGAGCATATCTTTAGAATTTCCGATACAGAGACTCACGCGCTGGAGATAAAAATGTTTTTTTCTGCACAACGTTGCCATTGCTCGCTTTGAAATCCTTGAGTTTGTTAATCAAAAATTCGTCAAAGTTTTAAAAAATAGGAAATCGATCATAAAACAAATTTCAAATTTCAAATTTGGTCTTCCACATGCTCATATTCGTTGGAGGATTACGTTATTCAAAATTCGATGACTCTATGTACCGTTGTTTTATCACAATACGATAAATATACATACATTTATGCAGATTTTTCATTATTTAATTTCTTCAAATATAATGCAGGACTCTAACATTTTGTGGCAACAGTTTGAAAAGTGAACCGACATTTATGAGTCGTCCGACGCAAAATGCCAAAACGAAACTAATAGTCCTTCGGGATTCAAATCCCTTTGGACTAAAAAAAAAAAAAAAAAAAAAAAAAAAAAAAAAAAAAAATTAGCTAGTTATATATTATAAACATGTAACTTAAATACTTCATTTGAATATGTAATGTATATTTTGTATGATAACTTTTGGCGAAGCATTTCTCAAAGTACCTTAGATAGATATGACAATAATTCTTAATTTTAATAATAGTTACATTCTATTCTATTCCATACATCTTGGATTACGTCACAGTTGTCGCTCAAATTAGAAATTTATGCAAATTTTAAAAATGAGGCATAGAAATTAATTCTAGCCTGCTGAAAAGTTTGCAACATATCGCCGCCTTAAACTCTCCAAGAACAAGCTCCAGCTGCGTTGATTAAAGGCTTTATTGGTAAATGATTTAAGAATTTGAATGCATTACGGATGGACGAAGTGTTTTTTAGCTTTGACTTAAAATCTTTGTTTTATTAACATTTTTAAAATTTAGCTACAAGGCACAAAACCTCATTTTGACAATGCTGGTTAATCCGACAAGCTATCATTTCAGTTTGTGTTGTAATTTTAGTTGTACTTGGTATTGTAATTTAGTACACTTTCAATTTTTCTGCTGCCAAAATTATTCAAAAAGATCTTTCTGTTCTAGTTAACGATCCTAATTCCAATCCATCTTTGCCTTCGGCCTTTAAAGAAATTATGTTTTAGTTCTGATTTCATCAACAGATGGCGCCACTTGCTTATTCTTGTCCAGTCTTCTTATGGTGGTTCGGTAAAACCATCCAAACTAGTCCTGTGAAAATTTTGAAAATAATACGCTGATTTTTGTTCTTTGACTTCTGTATTAGTATGAATGGTTCAATAAACTTCAATTGGATTTTAATTAGATTTGCTTTATGTTAACATTTAAATAGTTGTTAACTCACTATCCTTGGTCTACACTTAGTCTACACATGAAACCTCAAAGCTGCACATGAAGTGTAGGAAATACAGGATACTTTTATAACAGTAGCCCTTCATAAAAGTGTCGACGCTTTTAAGTTAGCGAACCATTGTTTGAAAGCACAGAAACCTTCAGTAAAAATGCTTCGGCATGCCTGCACCTTGTAGAGACATTAGGTCATTTCGAAGCAAGAGAGATGAAAAATGAGCAATGCCTCCGCCGGGACTCGAAACTCCGACCTCTCGAATACGCGGAGAGTATGCTGATCATTGCACCACGAAGGCGGGAGAAATACCTTATATACTCCCCCTTTTAGAGGACTACTGGGTTTTATTGGACCCAATCACCAAATCCTGGTAATGGAGAATCATCATCCACCATCTTTTCGTTCGGGCGCCACTGTTGAGACATTAGGTTACTTCCAAGTAAGAGAGATGGAAAATGAGCGATGCCCTCGCCGGGACTCGAACCTCGGACCTCTCGAATACGCGCCGAGTGTGCTGACCATTACACCGCGAAGGCATGCTAAAAAGGCGGAAGAAATGCCTTATAACCTTCTTAATCAGTTTCTAACTTGTAAAAAACAGCCTTCCTGAAAGTGTGGGTGCTTTCCTAAAAACCCGTTAGGTGAGTCGAATTTCTATTTGCTTTCGTAATTAAAATAACAAGGTTAACTCTATTTGTATATCTGTGCTCCGGCATGGGAGGGGGGGTCATGTTTACGGAAGTTGCTCTTAACAAGTTATAAATAGATCTTCGTAAAGCTGCTAGCACTTCTGTGTCTGATGCTTTCCTCGAGGTTTCTGTCTTTTCGAACAATGGTCGACTTGCATTAAAGATGCTGATATCTTTATTGCGGAACACCATTATAAGGAGATACTACCTATTACGTGTTTCCTATACCTGCTAATGAAAAATTTTCTCCTCCTGCATTTTTGAACAACAATAAATTCAAATATCTTTGGAGGTAAATTATACATCTATTCTCCTTTTCTATATATTATTATCTTCTTCACATGATTCAACACTTGACATACTTTCATATGGTGATTTGACAACATGCAACTTATTAAAATGGAATGTGTGAACTTACAGAGGAAGCGTGTTTTTCACTGCTGTTTTAGACATAACGCATGAATGTTTCAGCGTAATATTCAACTAAATGAAAAGGTGCATATTGGACGTATCCATTTAAATCTGGTATGTTATACAATATATATGCCTAATTTTTAAAGCTTATTAAAATCACGTTAAGAAATCTATATAAAAGCTAATTTGAAAAGCCCTTGAATATTAAAATAACGTCACTCTGAATGTTAGTCAATAATGTGAATATTAGCATTGGATTATACAGGGGTTGGACAAAAATATGGAAACACCTTTAAAAAAACATGTTTCTTTGCTTAATATGGTGTAGGAAACCCGTTGGCATCCAAAACAGCTTGCAGTCTTCTCGAAATGGATAAATACAGTTCCTGTATGTTTGCCAAGGGAATGTTATACCATTCTTCCTGCAAAACGGTGGCAAGTTCAGATAACGATGTTGGCGGTGGATAACGAGAACGCACATTCCGTTCCAATGTAGACCACAAAAAGGTTCGATAATATTCAGGTCTGGTGACTGTGTAGTGGCCAGGGGAGATGGGACAACTCATCCTCGTGCTCAGAAAACCAGTCCTGGACAATATGAGCTGTGTGAACAGGGGCTTTGTCGTCTTGGAAGACACCATCACCATCGGGGAACAAAGTTTGTACCATGGGATGAACTTAATCGGCCAAAATGTTCACATAAGTCTTGGCAGTCATGTGCCCTGACACAGTTATCATGGGGCTAGCAGAGAACCACGATATGGCTGCCCAAACCATAACAGAACCCCCGCCATGTTTCACTCTTGGCAACAAGCAGTCTGTATTATAGGCTTGAGAGGGCGTTCTCCAGACGTAAACTCGGCCAGAAGTGGGAAACAATGTAAAAGAAGACTCTTCAGACCATATTACTCGCTTCCACTGCTCTTTAGCCCAGGCCTTTATGACTTAAACACCACCTTTTCCTGTTACGGGCATTAGCATCACTGATGAGTGGCTTCTCAATTGCAGCACGATCACTCAGGACACACTTTCGTCCGCGCTGTGAGTTAGCAGATGATGTTTTTCCGCTTTTCAAATATGCGGAATAAATCTTCGATACAGTACCTCTTGAAACACTAAACACCTCGGCTACCTTGCTTGCGGAAGCACCTACCATACGTGCTCCAACAATTTGCCCACGTTCGAAGTTTGTTAACTCTGACATAATGCAATGACAACCTCACATAACAGTACTCCGACAACAACTGAACTGTTTAGCACATTTACGAAGCTGTATAGGTGGCGTCAGTAGTCAAAAACGCCAGCGCTACCTACATATTTCATTAAAATCAATCTTTCTTTTCAAACATGTATTTCACAAGGTGTTTCCATATTTTTGTCCATCCACTGTATATTAAATATTAGCACTCATATGGAAGCCAAATTGTTAATACTAATTTTGATTATTCAGGTATCTTCAAATAATTCTAAATATTTCATTCTACTTTAACAAATGTTTCGAATTTGTAATTAGCTAAGAAATATTGCATTGATCAAAGCAAAGGAACATACGAAGAAGCTATGTCCTGGCCTCTAAGAAGACAAAGCAAACAATTCCATTCGAACTCCATAATTGTTTGGTCATGTTTTTACATTAATATGAAACAGCAGGACTTCTTTTGAATATTTCAGGCATTCTTTTGTAGCAGTTGTAAGCAAATGAGAGAAATGAGCACAAAGCAATACAAAATTATTATTCACAAGGTCTGAAGAGCCCATATTGAATTATACACCTTCATATGCCACGAAATACGTAATAAACAGATTTTCGCATCAGAGCTTATTCTTTTGACGAGTCTTAAGTATCATAACTAAAACAAAATCATTTTGCTGTCTGGATAGGAAAAAAACTGCGTAATTCTTAACCACGTCATTCTTAAATACGTTATTCTTAACTTTTATCCAGATAAAAATCGTCTTTAAGTTCCACTTTTGCTTTCAGATTTTAACTTTCAGTAAGAATATGAGAAGCCCTTTTCTACCCTTACTTACTCTTCTCACCGCACAAAAGTAATGGAGCTTTATTACTGTTGGCAAACTAATTCAACTACTGGAATAATTGGCTGAATTATTACTGTTGGTAAACTGGTTGAAATGACAGGAACATTACCAATATCAATGGCGGATTTTCCTTAACTATAGCGCTCAGCGATACCCTTTATTAATATGTCAAGATCTTCTGGAACTCGAAGTTTTCAAAGAAAAATCTGCACTTAAAAACTTCGGAAAATACTTATCATATGTTCTCAAATTCACTACTGATATTAACGTTACCTGCTACAGTCCTCTTTTCTTTCCTTTGAAACAGAAATTCGTACAGCAAGAAATGTCCTACAGACCTTTCAATCAGTATACTATTTACCTTTTCAAACAGTATTTATTGTAAAAAAGCTGATTTATTTTACGGAACATAGACATAACACTAAAGTTATACACTTAAACTGCTATAACATGTTTGTTGGTTAAGATAGACTCAAATGTTGAAAAGATTGCCAAAAGAATGATAGAAATTCAGGAATGGTCTACACTAGACTTATTATGTTTTAAATCTATTCTTTAAATTCAGCGTCAGAGTTTTTCAGAACTTGATCATACGTTTTTCCCAGTCGTAAAACATAGTGACTTTGTACAGAATGTTTGAAAGATGACCATAGACTTTGTATTTATACTATCGCAAAATTGTGCAGTATACTAAGGCAAGAAATTTGTGTACAGTAACTTTCCGTCAATGAAATGAAATTCATTGCTTTTACTATAGTTTCATTTTTTTTTTCAGATATACACAGACGAAGACCATTCTTTAAGGAACGTTCGGCGGCACATGTACAGGACAATGGAAGATTTCTTTACCAAATGTTTCTCCAATCAAAAAGATGATTATGAAGGAACGTGAAGAATGTCCTGAGTGGAAAAGAATAATGAAATCAGTGATGTTGTAAATATATTTATAGAATTATATATATATATATATATACGTGTATACGGTGAGAAGATTTGGATGCCAAATCTCTCAATGTGCCAAACTTTACATGGCTACAATGTGACGTGTCTCAACTTTACATGGCTACAATGTGAATGTTCAACGCAACAGTGTAAATGAACCCTAAATACCGATGTGATGGATTTATAAATAATATATCTATTTTTCCCTGAAAGTGTAAGTGTAAAAATGTGTATTTAAAATGTGGTTTTTAAATAATAAGAGAGCTCAATATCTTGTTTTGTTTTCCTTCAGTTTTGGTATTTTTATCTCATGTGTGAAACATTTTGTTGAGAAACAAACCACAGGGCCATGTTTTCATCTTTATTATTCATACTGAGTATTTAGTGTTACCAATACGACACAGGTTCTTCGTCAAAGTCTGTGCCATCAAAATTCGCATTTAGCTTAACCACTCAACGCATCCATTAAAGAGCTAAATCCTTCCGATGGATCACTAATCTGTCTGGAATCAAATCTTCCTAGGGCAAGCATGCTTCTTTTAAATTGTGTGTTTGCCCATCTCTTTGTATAACGTTCGTTTTCGTACGCCCACTACTACCTGCCCAGTATCTATACAAAGCTAATTTCAAATTGTTAGCTAACGGACAACCAAATTTTAATATTTTGCTATGGGACCATTATAACTGTCAAGACGCTGATACTGATTGGAAATAGCTTGGTCTAATAGTGGGAGTCGAGCACTAAAGGCAGAAAACTGTGTAGTTTTCATCCAAAAGTAAACCAGAATTTAAATAGCGGCTCTTCGTACCTTACACAATATCTGACACGTCATGGACCATGTATGTCCTATCTTCACAGATTTGGCCTAAGAGACAGCGACCAATGAATTTGTGGCAAGAAATTGGTGACCCAAATCACTATCTGCATGATTGCCCGCACACAGCGAATTCACATTTAAAAAGATCAGCTGCAATCAATATGCCGGCATGGTTCAAGAACACAATTAAAAATAAATATGTGTTCAGCCGCATTAGAGACTGCACTATCATTGCTAAGAGCACTGCTGATAGCCTGGAGCGACTTCTTTCCTTGGACACCGTGCCGTCAGGAGCCCGCTCTGTACATATATTAATTTACATAATGTCTGGTCTGTTTTTGTTGTTGTTGTAATTCTTGCTTTTGTTTTGCTTTGTTTTTAATTATGTTTAATATTATGATTAATCCAGCACTCGTTTAATGTATTTGTTCAGATTTCATCTTTACATATGTACTTGTATTTATACCATGTTCTTAATATATCTGTATGCCTAACATGTACCATAATAGTGAAAAAGTGCTCTCTTTAGTCTCAACAGTCCCCAACATGCACCTTCTTTCCATAATCTGGTTCTTCTTTCAATGTTCCCAATGTTCCTCATTTAGCGTGGTCAATTCTCGGAGGATACAGCACTATGCTCTAAATGTTATCAATTCCCGAAGAACTCAGTAATAAGCTCTCTTTTAAAGAAAAAAAATTCCATCGACGAGATCTAACAGGCTGGATGGCGAAAAGAAAAAAAGCTTTACTAACCATGGCCTGAGGTCAGTACAATTAAAAATTAGAAGCAAACTAAACTTGATAACTTCTCCTCAACGTATAAATACAGTAGGTTTCTGGTATGCCACAGTTAAGACGTAACTACGTCGGCAAAACCTACTGAGTTTTTCACCTGGAACTGGAACTAACTGGGCCGCAAATGAAACTAACATTTACCGAACTTTCTTTAAACCTATGATAGCCCTAAATTCTTCAGTTCTTTCTCTGCCAGCGGTTTCTTCAGCTGAACATCAGTATTCCAGGATGAATTACACTGAACTCCCAGTTAAGTTTACCCCCAATTTTTTATCTATGCCTAATGCTGAAAGTTTTGCATTTACCTCTGGCAAGTAACGTGATATTTAAAGGCGTAATAAATTAACATAAAGCTAACAAATAGTAAATAGAGTGTTTAGGACTTTCTGACGTCGCCGTTTTGCCATCTCTGTTTCACCGTCGCTCTTTCGCCAACTGAACAATCCGCAAGCAGCTGATTCGCCGCGAACCATTTCGCTATCAAGTAAAAATGAAGTAAGAAATAAAGGTTGCTTATAATGTATATAATTACTTGTTTACAAATTTGGCACACAAAACATGTACACATTGTTAGTTAAAAAGTTATTTCAATATTAAACAGAATAAAATTATCACATTTCATAATTATGAGCTAAACTTCTCAAATATTCTGTTATATCTTCGTTTCTAAAATTATGCGGATACAATGCTTACATGATTCGTTAAAATTTCTTGAAATATTAATTAATTCAGAGAAATCACGTATGCTAGCAGGAAGAGATCTACTAATAAATTAACTTTTACATCATGCGTAATGATATATTTGTATAAAACTGCACCCAAAAAACATTTTATATATTATTCAAAAGTTTTAAACTCATTAGTTCTAGGTGATATTTTAGTAATTCTAGATGTATTTAATTGCAAGAGCGTTTTCTTTTAAAATTTAAGACAGTCAGAGGCATACAATAGGTAAATAAATAAGTTTAATATAATATGGCAAGATATAATATAGACATGTAAAGAAAAATATTGTTGACGACGAATCGGACCGACGGCGAAAGAGCCCAAAGGCTTTGGCACGACGGCGAAACGGCGACGTCGAAATAGTCGCCAGGAAACGGCGAAGGTGAATAGTCCCATTCCCTAATAGCAGAACTTAAATTGCGCCGGTGTGTGTGTAATTATGGCAAAGCCTCGAGGGCTATCTGCCTAAGAGGAGGGATGCCTTCGTGGAGGACTTTCTAAGGGAAACTGGCTCGTATACACGTTACACATGGGGAAAACCACGAAAACGCCCATGCAGCCAGCCCGTTCGCGGGATTCGAACCTCGGACCGAACTACCAGTGTTCAGCGACTTTACCGCTCGGCCGCTGGTGGGCTAAATTGCGCCGGAGCCCTAACTAAAAAGACTCCGGCACTTCTGTGTAACCGAAAAACAGTTTCAATAGAAATCTGATCTCGAAAATTTTATTTTAGCAATAAAATTATATTAAAATCGCATATTAATTTATCTCTGTAATTTAATTTTAATTACTAATAATTAATTATTAATTAACTGAACAATAAGTAGTAATTAAATAACAATACAAATACTGATTATTAATATTGATTATTAATTAATCTGGTAATAAATAACTATTTAATTTTTAAATTATTAATGATTTTAATGGCAATTTTATTTATTTACTCTTGTTTCTTTTTCCTGGCGCTCTTGCATAGGGCTCCGGCACTTCTAATTTTAGAAATTAAGTCCTGCCTAATAGATTAGTTTTAGAGAGGCATTTAAAAGCATAAATTCTTCAGAAACCCATCCATAGTCTTCTGAGCGAAAAAGAAAAAAAAAAAAAACATTATTAAAATTATTAAATTTAACTTAAAGTATAACAAGCAAATAGGAAAATCAATAACCTTTCCCGTAGATAGCGTTTAAATACTGTAAGCTCCTTTGCTAATGTATAATTTTAGAAATTTGCACAAATTGGTAAAAGGGAGCCACAATGAAAGTCTAAATTTTTGTTTCGTTTGAAGATTCTAGGATTAGAATGTTCTAACCCAGCTGGTAATGGAGGATATAGAAGTTTATTAATCCTGAGTAACTGGTTAAGGAGGTAGAGTCAGTCTTCAGGAGAAAGAGGCCAGATATATATATATATATATATATGAAATGTAATTTCTCATACATTATTTGTTTTGTGCAGCCGGGGCAACAGGAATGAGACAAATTTTGGAATATAAAGTGGTAGGTTTATTTTAGCATCCATCTCACCTTTTCGTACCTTGAGCAGAAGCCCTATTTATACCTATGTGTGCGTCACGAGACTCATCCAATCAGCGATATTAATTGAAATCACGAGGTGACGCTATCTTCTCATCAGGAGTGTTCTTAAGGACTTTACGTAATATGACAGATTTATGACTTTGGCGATTTGGCGGGCGCCAACAGGTTAATATATTTTATACTAAAGAAAGGATTTCGCCAAAATTTAGGAACAGGGATGCAATTTAGGTAGAGAATCGCCAACACATTATTAAGCAATATTATTAGAATTTAATTTAATCAATTGATTTAAAAATATCATTACATATATATATTAAGCTTAATTGTGTTGCATTGAAGCATTTGATGGCCTAGAAGAAATGCCTTCATGGAGAGATTTGCCAACGTGATTGATACATCTGTGATTTTATTGTTTCCGACTAGATTGATACATCTAGTCGGAAACAATAAAATCCTTACATATTTATTCAGCTAAACTATACAAAATCAAAGTCAGGTTAAATTATAAACATTTAGTGATCGTAGCGTTTAACGAGAAAACTTAATGTTAATGCTTGAAACGATAATTAACTGAATTTTTGGAAAATAATGTGTTTAAATAAGTTACTCATAAAAAATTATTGAATTCTTAAAGGAATATAAGAATTTTATCTAAAATAAGTTATGAAATGTAAAGGTTTTAGAATATAAAATCACGTTTGAAATATATTACATCATCCTAACTTAAAATCTCGTTTGCATAGCTTTACCTAATGGACTGTTATTTGAGACTTATTTTATTAATCAACTAAAGTTTATTTGTTACGATCTGCAGATTTAAAAAAATGCAGAGAATTGAATAATAATTTTAAAAAGCTTAATAATACTTCTTACAGGACGCAGTTTAACTGGAAATAATATTCTAAAGAATCTATTCGGAAGAAAATATATATATAAAGGACCTATTCGGATAAAGCAACCAGACACAAGATGGCAGGTGTCCTTTTTTAACTTGTACAGACGTGAGTAAATGAATAATCTGAATAATCACCTAAAGTTAGCTAAAATGATTAATAATAAGCAACATGAATCTGCGTAATGTAAGTGAATTTGCGGAACTGTAGTACCGAAGTTTAAATAGAACCTTCTTTCTCAGCTTCAGGAATGAAAACGACGAGAAAAAGTATGTCCTCTAGAACAGGGGTTCGGACAACTTTCTTTAGAAAGGACCAGATTGTAAAAACCTTACGCTCGGCGGTTCTAGTAGCAAAGATGAAGCTATTATGAATGATTAATTTTCTTATATAGCAAAAAATAAACGTTAATTTTTTTTACCACGAAGTGACACTTTTGCATAATATTTATGCACATTTTACTGAAACTTAACAAAAAAGTAATAAAAGATTAACATTCACATATCAAAAAAGTTATTATTAAATAGATTAAAATTTCTAATGCGAAAAATATATTGTTTTCATGAGACAATATTTCATCATAGTGGAATTCGAAAGTAGTACTTCTTTGCATTAAAGTTGTTTGCAAATGATCTGAATGATCATAATAATAATAACGATCTAAATGATCATAATAATAATAACGATCTGAATTATGATTTTACATACTTCATTTTCGAAATATCTTGTTGCACTGGTAAGTACTCCCAAATACGGATGATAACCATCCCTTTAAATATGATTTTATGTAAGCGTATCTTCTGAAAAATATTTATAAAATTAGGATACATCCTTTCCTTTAAACATCATTTTTAACATACAATCATTTTGCAAATCAATTACTTTCAGTTCAAGAACTGATGGAAGCTTCCCAGTTGTACAATCAAATGAATTTGGAAACACCTTTCGCACTTGCCTCATTCAAAAAAACGCTGTTGTAACTGCAATATTAGCACAAAAAATATATCCTGCTCGAATGTTTTGGGAATGGGGAAATTGCTAATATTTAAAATTTTTACAGCGTGGGAAATTGTAAAATTTGTTTAATGTTTGTTTGCGTTTCAAATAATGCAGATTTTCAGCATACCTTTACTATACAATACATTTCACATATGAGTACTGTTTTCTCCTGTAATTTTAAATTAAATTCGTTGAGATATCTCATGACATCTGTGACAAGTGCTAATTTACCTAGTCGTTAGTCGTTCACTGTTTAACAATAAAGGTTGTGGCCAATTTTTCTCCTTAATAAAAAATATCTATAATATCTCTCACGTCCAAGAATCTCAATTCTCAATTGAATCTGAATTCCCATTGCTCACGAAACTGGCGGCGGTTAAGTTTACGAGGGCGAATGAAGCTTACTGTTGATGCAACTGGTTCAGTAACACGTGACAGATTGAGATATTTCTCACAAAAATCTTGCTGATGAATAATACAACGAATTACCGGAGGTTTTTAAACATTTAGCATG